CATTTACCGTATAAAAGGAAAGCCAGGCCATGGTGTAGGATGAAAAAGATTTGCTTTTTTACTTTCTACCTACAGTCATATTGTAGCTCATTTGTAAAAATCATTCCACTTGTAAAGTTAACCATCCATTAGTCAGTAAGAGCTGTTCCCACTAATTGGTGGACTCCTGGGGAAAGCAACATAGTTAGAGGTTAGTGTAATGGCCCAGGTGCCCTTGACTTCTATTTCTGGTTCCTTCACTTACTTGCTGTGTGGCCTTAGGCAGTTTTCCTTAATTTCTCTGGGCCTTGTTTTCCCCAAGAAGTAAATTTCCCACTTACTCTTCTTGAGGGATGCCAAAAGATCAAAGGAACGATGTGTGCAGGGCTTTTTAAAGATGCCTAAATGACGTGCACTAGAAACCCCTTGATTTAATAGGTATGAATTAATACATTCTTTGATTATTGGTAGAACTACGTATTTTAGCTTTTTAATTAGCTCCTTGGGTATAATTGGCCATAGGCATTACTATGGGAAGGGAAGCCGCCCAGCCATCCCGATGATCATTATGGGTGCCTGCTGTGTCTTTAGGCGGAGGGGCAGAGGGAGCTGGCAGCTTTACGTGGTGGGGGGTTATGACGGCTGCACCGAGCTAGCGCAAGCTCGGGAGGCTCCCCTGAGGTGGCGCAGACCATCGGGGCTGCCCCGAAACCAGCTCAGTCAGAGCCTACCTTACTCTGTTTACAAAAGGGAGGCAAGGTGGAGCATCTCCTGTTTGTTGATTTGATTGTAGTGTTCGCTCTGCCGGCCTCAGAGTGAGGTATTTAACGGGGCCTCTAAGCCATGGGCACAAGGACACGTGGGCAGAAATGCCCCAGACCCCATGAATAGCATGATGCGTTTCCAGCCAGCTGCACCCCGGCACTGGGCAAGGGGCAGTGGCTTCCACCCTCCTGGTCCCTCTTGCCTCCATATTCCTGTCGCCAGCTCACCCCCTCCCTCCTGAGTGAAGAGAAAAGGATCAGGCTACTGTTCTGACATGCACACCTCCTCTTCTGTTCCCGGGACCCTTTTGCTTTTGTGTTTAAGAAGGAGTCTTGCTCTGTCGCCCAGGCTGCAGTACAGTAGCGCGATCCTGCCTCACTACAACCTCTGCCTCCCGGGTTCTAGTGATTCTCTTGCCTCAGCCTCCCAAGTAGCTGGGACTGCAGGCGCCCGCCGCTACACCCAGCTAATTTTTGTATTTTTCGCAGAGATGGAGTTTTGCCATGTTGGCCCAGGCTAGTCTTGAACTCCTGACTTCAAGACATCTGCCCGCCTCAGTCTCCCAAAGTGCTGGAATTGCAGGCATAAACCACCATTCCCAGCCTGTTCCTGGACCCTTCTAATGTCTCAATGCAATAATCTGATCCTAAAAACCACCCATCCCTTCACCTCACTCTTACCCTTCCTTCCCAGGATTGCATTTACAAAACAAAAATTCATGCTTAAAGCAAGCATCAGGGGGAATCCATTGTTCTGCACCCTGCTACAAAAATGCATCATCCCGGGGATATGCCTGGGAGCCAGGACTCCATGGTTCACAGCCAAGGGCAGAAGCTGGAGGCAGGGCCTAACCTCAGGCAGCTACAGCAGCTACAGCAGCCACAGTAGCCACAGACAGGGCCATGCAGCAGAGTCCAGATGGTTTTGTTCGGGCCCCTTGGCAGACTCATGGTTCTCCATGCTGAACCGCATCAGGGAGCACTTAAAGCAAAGCTTGGTTTGTGTTTTATTTTGCATGGAATGGGGGAGAGAGGAGTTGCCAGGGAAACAATCCCTCAGAGCATTCTGCTCTGGGGTTCTTCATCAGGCGGGGAGGGGGCTTCCCATGAAAGGCACAGAGGGGTTCTCAAGCATGCTCACACCTGGTTCTGCTTTCTTTCCTTCTCTTGGAGGGCCTGAGGGTCCCACCTCCCGGGCCTGCCCATTAGGCTGGTAGGCACCTTACCCCACAGAGCCTGCCAGGACCAGTACACGCCAGTACCTAAGGCCAGGATCAAGTCCACAAGCAGCAGGGCCCAGTGCAAAATGGAAATGCTGGGCCCCTTGATCAAGCCCATTAGGTGGGTTCAGTGTCCACTGCTCGGGGGATGGGCACACCAAAATCTCACAGATCACCACTAAGGAACTTACTCAACCAAATACCTCCTGTTCCCCAAAAACCTATGGAAATTAATTTTTTAAAAGCATATAGCAACAAAGACAGGAAAGGAGAGGAGAAGGAGAAGGAGAAGGAGGAGGGGGAGGGGGAAGGGGAGGGGAGGAAGGAAACCTATTAGGAATTTCAAGATGTCAACAGCAGAGCATGAAACCAAGCCAAGGACCTTCTGAGCAAAGGGCCCTCAGGTCGCATACCCAGAAGGCCGATCCTGTTCAAGACTTCACTTTGCCTGAGCAAGGCAGGTGCAGGATAGGGGCTGAGGGACCCCCGTGGGATGCAGCCAACAGGACCCTTTCATTGAAGTACCATCCACATCCCTTACTTGAGAGGAAGGGAGAGGCACTGGGAGAAAAATTCTCTGTGTTTAGGGATTTGCAGCACACACATAATTTTTTTAAAACCCAAAAGTCAGGGCTTGGAATCTAAGAAAAGGAAATCTAAGAACAGAATGATTCTGGTTGTTCTGGAGTTACTCTCTTTTAATCTGCCGGGATTTGGGAGAAGTAAGAACATTTGGGATTCATAGTAAGATCTAAGGTCACTTTGTGCCAGTACTGTGCTACGATCTGTGGCTGCTGAGATCTACCTTAGAGCGGTCATTTTTGCCATTTTACAGAGGGGAAAACTGAGGCTAAAGGAAATACTGTAACTTGTGTCGGGTCCAGCAGCTTAGAGCCGGAGTTGGGCACGGTGGCTCACGCCTGTAATCCCAAAATTTTGGGAGGCCAAGACGGGCAGATCACTTGAGGCTAGGAGTTGGAGACCAGCCTGCCCAACATAGCAAAACCCCGTCTCTACTAAAAAATACAAAAATTATCCAGGTGTGGTGGCATACTCCTGTAATCCCAGCCACTCAGAAGGCTGAGGCACAAGAATCACTTGAACCCGAGAGGCAGAGGTTGCAGTGAGCCGAGATCTTGACACCACTCCAGCCTGGGGGACACAGCGAGAGTCTGTCTCAAAAAAAAAAAAAAAGGTAGTGGAGCTTGGATTCAAACAGATGTAGTCAGACCACAAAGCCTGCCCGCCTGACCACTTTGCTGAGTGTACTGCCCCCAGGTTATGAGGCCAAGGTCGTGTAACCTGTTCATTCTGGTATTTTTGTAGCTCTGGCTAAGTTCAGGTAGAATGTGTCTGAATATATAACACCTGGGGACCAGAGAGGAAATTTGGGTGTTTTCATGGATGGATTTATAGTGGCCAAGCATCAGACAGGAGCATGAGACCTGGGTCTGTGTATTTTAGTAATAGACTCCACTAAGGCGCTGTTGAATCTCTGACACAAAGCTATCAGCCAGCACAGGCCTTTGGGCCATTTGCTTTCCTTGCAGTATCTCTCTACCCACCTGGAGTTGATGCTTAACAAGAAAGAAAAATACAATTTCCTTGGGCTTCAGAGTGAAATGCACTCTGAGCCGGGGACAAAAGAGGCAGCTCTGTAATAAGAGAGAATAGATATTCTGCTTCCCAGTATTTACACCGGAAAATAATTGTAAAATTCCAGAGAGTAGATTGTGAAGATAAAAGAATGCGGCTATTCCAGAAGCACTTTTTATTCCAGCTCAGTTTTATTTGGGGTTCTGGGTCCACTGGCCCAACTGCTGACTGGCAGTGTCCCCAGCCCGGGAAGACAGGGTGGGTCGGATACAGGAAATGGCCATCACGTCTCTAAGGTGGACAGAACATGAGCGGGTCAGAGGGTCAGGAGCCTCAGGTCCAAGGACTCTGGGCAAGACCCTGAAAATCACTTAAGTCAGTGGCCAGAGAAAGAGGGGAGTCTAGGGAAGCAGTTCCCCGCAGAAAGACAAGACAAGATTCCTGCTTTACCCCTTCTTTCTGCAAAATAAACAGAAATTCCAAGTATATGGAAGGCGATGCAGTAACCATCAAATATGAATGCAAACGCGTGTGCACACAAGTTGAACCTCCTGTGACATTTCCCAGAGGGTTAAAGTAACTTTCTTTTTCATCCAATGAAAGGAACCCCCTTCCTGCAGCAAGTGGATGCAGCCCTAATTACTTCCAAACATTACAGTCGGCTTCTTAGTTAACGAGCTCACTGGTCCGAAGGAGGAATGACTGCCAGGGCCCCTTCATTCCACTTCTCACCCTCCCTGGCCAAGCCCGAGGGAGAGACTGGCTGCAGCGTCCTTCCGGGCGACAGAACTCTTGGTTTTCTTTGTGCTGCAGCAAGAAGAATGGGCTTGACAGGCTCACACTGTGATCTTGAGTTGCCTGCCCCCGAAATAAGGTCCCAGCCTCCTCCGCCCTTTGCAAGGCTCTTACACATTAGTGAGCAGGAAGTGGAGTCCCGATGGGAGGCTGGGAATTTGAACGCCTTCCCATTTCAGCACTGGAGGGGAGGAAGCTCAGTTCAGCACTCCACGCAGATGGCTACCGCTCCCTCCTGAGCACTCGCTCCTCTCCCCTCACCCGCCGCCTTCCCTGCTGGGTCCCTCTCCCCCGTCTCCACCTCTCCTCCCTCTCCTGGAAGGGAAAAGTCTGCCAAGCTGGGGACTGCCACGACCAAACCAACAAAGGCGGACCAAAGGCGGAGAACTTGAAAAGAACTTGTTTTGTTCCAGTTAAGGAACCTGCAGGAAAATCCACACCCACGTTGCCTGGTTTTGAACTGGAGAGCTGCGAGTGTGTGTGTGTGTGTGTGTGTGTCAGTCAAGCAAGAGGCGGAGGAGGCACAAACCACGGTCTCTGCTTTGATAAGGAGACTGCCAGCTGTGGAAAGTTAACCAGCAGACGGGGGAAGATGGCCCAGGAACCAGCCCCTCCTGAGTTTTAAACTTCGCTGTTTTCTGTCCAGATATTCCAATGGAGACAGTTGGAAAACCTGTACTTCAGAGAAAAGAAGTTTTCCGTGGAAGTTCATGACCCACGCAGGTAAGCTTGAAAAGTCCTTTTCTTGCGGGACGGCGTGGCTCTCGGCCGGGCATGTTATTGATCTTATTATTTTGGGGCTCTCGTTGTTCATGGTCAGTTTGGAGTGGAGCGGGGGCAGTCTCCCGGGGAATGGAGCTCCAATCAGGCAGTGAAACTTTCTTTTGGATTACATGTCTTGATAAATGCGGTGGGTTCGCACGTGTGTGTGTGTGTGTGTAAGTAGCAATCCCTGACCGTCTCATCTGGCCACATGTGTCCCTGGCTCGTGTGTGTGTGTGTGTCAGTGTGTGTGTTTTACTTGCACTGGAGGGAAGCTTTATAGCACTTTGTAACACACACCAGTAAGTCCCCATAGGAAACCTTTGCTACAGAAGAGTCTGAAGAATCGCTCCTTAGAGCTTCTGAAAGTGTTTCAGGCAGGACAGTCCATGCGAAAATGAATCTGTCACCAAAGCAGTTGTGCTACATTGTTTTATTCCAGGAGCTGTAATTTTAGGATGTTAGTATCATGGGTGGATGTGAAAGAAATGAAATTATTTTTCCCTCCACCCAAAATCGTACCCCAGACAGCACCAGGGTTGTAAAAAGTCCCTGTACTCTTAGATGTGAGACAGTGCGGCCCCAGGTTGGAATGCAGGGAGCCCCGAGTGACTGGGGTCTGGGCAGCTTATACCCACTGTTTTCCTCTCTTTTTCTCCCGCTGGACCTAAAGTTATAGGCATCCCAAAAACAGCAGCGTAATTCCCTAAAACCAGGCCTGACAACTAAGAAATCACTTTCTGTGAGGCCAGAAACATTTACAATAAGAAGGTAGCCCCGGGGAGACGAAGAAAACATCAGACTCTACAGAGGAACGAAAGTGGATTTTAGGCGCTGTTGACGCTCCAGCCCTGGGCTTAGAAAGAGGACTTGGCACCAATTCCAGCTCACACATGGCTTCTGACACTCAAAACAAGCCGCGGTACCTCCCCATGAGCTCTGGACAGGAGGGAGACGGGAAGTTACCCCGCCCAGTGCGAGGGCTTGGACCTGTGCAGTAGCCCCTGTTCCTGCAGCCCATGATAACCTGGCAGGAATGAAGCCGTGCTTGCCCTCCAGGGTAATCTCCCTGAAACAGCCACTCCTGTGTAGGGGAAAAGCCTATCTCAGCACCACAGTTACTACAGGAATAGTTAGTGGAGAGCAGCTGAGAGCTTCTGCATCTCTGCAGTCAGGTGAAGATGGTAGCCTTTAACAGAAACATATTTTATCCAGTGTTTCTCAGGGGCCTGCAAGGGGTTTCGTGGCCAGAAGTCCCAGTCCACAGAGCACAGATCCATCTGTGCAGGCCAAGCAGGGCAGGCAGGGAGATTTCAAAAATAATATTCCAGCCAAGAAGAAACTCACTGTTCATTTTTCAGGGGAACTGAATCGGACCATTTTCTTAGGCATATAAGAGCAGGGGAAATTTAAGTACAAAAAGAGTGAAATGAACTTTGCCACAATGGGTCAGATGCAGAAAGGGGATGCTCCAAAGGATAAAAATGGGGGGCTGGGTAATCTAAGGGGCTGAGCGCAGGGAATAGACCCTCCTCCATGCCTGTGCTCTGCTGGAAATTCAGTGAGCAGCCAGGCACCTTGGACAAATCCTTTAACCACGCATGCGTCTATCTGCGTATGTGTGTTCGTGTTCTCTCTGCGTCTGTCACCCTGTCGGTGAGTACTGCTAAATTCTCTTTCCCAAGGCCCAGGGATATAGGAAAGAATCTAGACCTCACATGTGACTCTTCAGTGGGTCTGTCGCCTATTAGACAGCAGTGATCAATGTCATGTTTCTTGCGAAGCTTCTGTGTCCTATTCAGGCGCTGTGTCAGCCGTGGCAGGGAAGGAAGGAAGTCGGAGGCAGGGTCTTCTTCCTTAGCAATCTTCTAGTGTAGCTGAGAAGACAGGCAGAAGAAGGAACTTTTCTGTTGTTGTTGAGACAGGGTCTCATTCTGTCACCCACGCTGGAATGCAGTGGTGCGATCATAGCTCACTGTAGCCTCCACCTCCCAGGCTCAAGCAGTTCTCCCACCTCAGCCTCCCGAGTAGCTGGGACTACAGCCACACACCACCATATCCAGCATTTTTTTTTTTTTTTTTGAGAGACTGGGTCTCACAGTGTTGCCCAGGCTGGTCTCAAACTCCTGAGCTAAAACGATCCTCCCATCTTGGCATCCCAAAGTGCTGGGATTTTGGGCGTGAGCCACTGCCTGGAACCTGCCGAGAAGAAGGAACTCTTGGAATGTCACAAGAAACAAAGGAACCTGCTCTAGAGGACAAGTAGCTAGTATACAGGAGAGGCAGGATTTGAACCTAGGAGGTCTGGCCCGGAGCTCATGCACTTTCTCTACTGTACAGAAGGGCCAGCTATCGTGGGCCATGAAGGGTGAAGGACAGGGTCGCCAGAGGCCTGGCTGGTCAGGAAGGGAGAGGCTTGCCAGGAAGGAGAGGTCTGAGTGGGACCTGGAGGGGTAACTAGGATTAAAGCCACGTGGTGGGCCCTCAGGGTGATATAAATGTCAGGTGGGAGCTTCTCAATTAGGATAAAGAAATGAGGGAGGGTCTGGCTGGAGGAAGGAGCAGATCTGTCTCCTCCCAGGCACACTCGCTCTGAGTACACCGAGTTAGCCTGCAGACAGGCAGGAATGGGGGAGAGGCCCAGGGAGGCCGGAGGTGGAGACCCAGGATGACTTCAGCATTAAAGACACACAAGGAAAGGAAATGGCTTCAGGTCAGTCACTTAGCATGGTGGCAGAGCCAGAGCTATGAGCTGTAAGGTCTTTCTTGCACTCAGTTCTCTTTTTCACATCCTAGTGGTGCCTTTTTTCTCTTGTATTGGTAGTTTTCTCTTGTATTTCACGTATTCATGAGCCACGTGTGAGTGTGTTACACGCATAGAACATGGAATGATCAAGGCAGGGTATGTGGGGTATCTATGGCCTTGAGTGTTTACTTTTTTTTTCTTTTGAGACGGAGTCTCACTCTGTCCCCAGGCTGGAGTGCAGTGGTGCGATCTCGGTTCACTGCACCCTCCGCCTTCCAAGTTCAAGCAATTCTCCTTCCTCAGCCTCCCAAGTAGCTGAGACTACAGGTGTGCGCCACCACGCCCAGCTAATTTTTGTATTTTTAGTAGAGACAGGATTTCACCATGTTGGCCAGGATGGTCTCGATCTCTTGACCTCGTGATCCGCCCGCCTCAGTGTTGACTATTTTTACGTTGGTATCATTGCACGTCCTCTCTTCCAGTTACTTTGAAATGAAACTTGTGGTGCTTTTTAAGTTGAATGTGTCGTCCTATTGCTTGTGGCCTTGCTTATTTGAGGTTAGGGAAGAGGAATGTGATTGGCCTCATGTTAGTTTGGTGTTCCGGGCTCAGCCCCTCCCCCAAGCCAGGCAGGGAGTCAGAACCGCAGTAATAGGATGGGCAGCGCCAGATGCAGTCATTTTAATGAAGATGGAATTGATGGGAATCATTGAGGGCAGAGGCTGCTTTCTGGGCCGATGGGCTCAGGTGTGATTGCACCATTCCCTGTGGCGTACCAGACAAACACTGGGCACTTTCTCCCCCTGGGCATCCTAACTCAATGCTTAGCTTCATTCCTGAGCTTCTCCCCCCCTGGGCATCCTAACTCAATGCTTAGCTTCATTCCTGAGCTTCTCCAGGCTGGGCCAACATTTCACTTCTAAGCTTTGGGCAAAATAGGAAGGGCCTGAAGCGAAAGATGAGGAGAGGAGATAAAGTAGTAATAGAGCAGGAGAAGAACTCTGAGTATCTGATTTAGACAGGGGAACTACCCGGACCTGACCAGCCACTTACCTCTTCTGCCCTCCTGGTACCTGAGAAATGGAGGTACCTAGCCTTGCACCGCCTTTCAAGATACTTTTCTTGTCTCATTCAGCTTTTCTGAGGGGGGAAAAAGCCATTCGTTTATTTCCAAGAGCAGCAACTGCTATGGAAGCCAAGCTGGGAGCACAGATCCCTGTTTTCTTTTAAATTTAGTGAGACTGGGGAGGGATCCCTCCTCACTCTCACTGGCTCCTTTTTTCAATTATTTTCAACTGTGCGCTCTTTCACGTGCTGGCTTTTTTTTTTTTTTTCTTCACTTTTGTTTGAACCGAAGGGAGAAAAAAACCTGTGTAGACTCAGTGTCATTACCCACCAGATTTGAATTTCTCCTTAAAAGTGAGGGTGAAGAAGACTCCACTTTAAATCTTTAGCTCCCCCAAAGTAAGATATTGCCTGGCAGCTTTGTTTTCTTTAAGGGAAAATTAGCCATGGAAAAAAATGTTACTATTTGCAAGTGCTGATCACCCCCAGGTTTCTTCCAAATTAGATATGTTAGTCTTGAGAACACACATTTTGTTTCTGATATCCAGGTAAAAGGCCCCAAATCCCAGCCCACCTTCCCATCAACTTGTCACACATTTGCACGCACACACACACATGCAAACACACATTCTCAGATTTCATTTGCAAAATAATCTGCCTATCCTATAAAATATACTTCACTAAGAGCATGACCATATAAGTCCTCCTGACTCCATGAATGTGGTGGATTACATAGAGATCAGCAGTTCCTGTTTTCACTTTTAAAGTCTGATTACTCCATGTAGGTTTAAAAATGTATAGAGAAGGCTAGGCACAGTGGCTCACGCCTGTAATTCGAGCACTTTGGGAGGCCAAGGCAGGTGGATCACCTGAGGCCAGGAGTTCCAGACCAGCCTGATGAAACCCTGTCTCTACTAAAACTACAAAAAATTAGCCCAGCGTGGTGTGGACACCTGTCATCCCAGCTACTTAGGAGGCAGAAGCAGGAGAATCGCTTGAACCTGGGAGGTGGAGGCGGAGGTTGCAGTGAGCCGAGATCATGCCACTACACTTCAGCCTGGGCGATGGAGCAAGACTCCGTCTGGAAGAGGAAAAAAAAAAAAAAAAGTATAGACAGAAGTTGGGGGAATTGGGGGTGGGCACATTACTCTCTGCCTTTCCTCTCCTGATTGTTTGTACCCTCCCTGCCCTCTGAATAGATTAGAAATTGATCACCAAATCTTCAAGGAACATTGGGTTAGTTATGTAAGAAGTCCCGATTCCCTGGGACACGGTAGCCTGTGGTGATTAGAAAATAATTTACTCATCCCCACCGCTGGCACATTTCCTGTCTCACAGGGAGTATCACTGAAGGTTTTCCTGTCTGCGAAGTTTGTCTGGGCCCAGTGCCAGGTCCAAGATCGAAAAAGGACCATCCAGTGACCTAGAATGACCCACCTTATCCCAGACAAGGCCGAGACTTGGCCAAATTCTCAACTCTAGGGAGTCAGAAAATCAGAAGGTGGCCTTTGCCAGCCAGTGTCTCTGAGGTGTGTGTGAGTGTGTGTGTGTGCCTGAGTGTGTGCGCGTGTCTAGGTGTGTGTGAGAGCTCAGCTGTCACCTTTCAGCCAGGGCTTCTAGGACCCAGTGGGTTCTCTACAGAAGCTGTTGACTGAGAAATGGTTTCTCTCAACAGAAATGGGTTTGAACCTTGTGATTCTTGCTTCCCCAGGGCTTCAGTGACAAGGAGGACGTTTGGGCACAGCGGCATTGCAGTGCACACGTGGTATGCATGTCCAGCATTGATCAAGTCCATCTGGGCTATGGCCATAAGCCAACATCAGTTCTATCTGGACAGGAAGCAGAGTAAGGTGAGTGACCAGACCTCTCACCAAGCCCTCAGCCAGCTTAAGAGCAACCCGGGCCATTGGCTGCCTCTCTCGGTTTAGGAATGAGAATCGGACGGGTTGGGGAGGTACCATGTCCCTTGCCCAGGTCCGTACCTTGCACAGGTACAGGCTTGCCTCTTAGGGTTACAGGTGGGAGGGTTGAGACCAGCTCTTCAAGAGGGCACATTCCATGCAGCTTGGTCCAGGGGGCTCTGACCACCATCGAGCGGCTCAAGCTGCTGACTACAGCCAGGTAGGCCCCTTTTGAGGAATTCCCACTGTGCTTTAGGCCCTCGGGAGACTCCCCTAGCAGTGTGAAGGCAAGCCCTTTTTGGTGTTTAAACAGTGCTATACTATCTTCGTTTTGAAAAGAAAAAAGTAATCGTTCTCAAGGAATAGACACCACCTAACTGTTTAGGGTAATTGCTGTGAAAACCCGCAGGCGGTTCCAACTGCCAAGTCCTTTTTTTTTCTTTTTTTTTTAATGCAAAACTGGAAACGTTAAAAAAAAAAAAAAGCAACCGCCCTGTTTCCCTAAGGTAGACCTAGAGCCTGGGGCCTTGGTAAACAGTCCTCCTCCAAGGAGATGTCACCACCCCCGACTCTGGGCACGCAGCTGCGTTTTCTGGTGGGTGAGAGGATGACGTCTCCTTGGTTCACACAGGGCTTATATCAACACTCTGCCCCCTCTTCCTCCAGCCCTGTCTCCCCAGACTCCCCTGTCAGCCCCCCACAAGCCGCTCCCATTCATTCTCCCTCAGGGGAAGAGCCCTGCCAAGATGGCCCTGCAGCTTCTGTCAAGATCCTGCTGGCTTTGGCTTGGGGAATACAGACTGAGGTCACCCTGGGCCCCGGGCTAGTGATTTCTAGCAGTTACTGAGGATTTCCCTCCATCGTGTGAGTTCTTGGGAGAAGGTGGCCGGACGCTCCACTTACTGGGCACAAGGGTCACTGCATCGGTGCCCTCTCGGGCTCTTTCTCTTTTGCCATCTTATCCATATTTTAAGGGGTTTCTCTTTTTCTGGGGAAGAGGAGAGTGAGTGAGTTGAGGATCAAGGGAGAGGTGATAAGAGAAAGATAGAAAAGAGGACAGGGCTGGGCACAGTGGTTCACATCTCTAGTCCCAGCACTTCGGGAGGCCAAGGCAGGAGGATCACTTGAGCTCAGGAATTTGAGACAAGCCTGGGCAACATAGTGAGACCCTCGTCTCTACTAAAAGTAAAAAAAAAAAAAAAAAAGAGAACAGGAAGAAATGAAACAATCCTTTTAGTTATAATTCAGTTTTAAATCGGGGTCTGTCCCCTGCAGCCATCATTTTCTCCTTTGTAAAATATTTTGTCCTCTACTTCTTTCTGACCCCCTTTTTGGTCATTTTCTGGGATGAATGAGTGCAGGACAGAGAATTTCTGTTGTTAGGAATAATGAGAGTATTCTCCACAGCTCTCCTGGCATTGATGGGTCCTAGTCCTAGCACAAGAATTTGAAGTTCGATTAGATCAAAAGAAATGCGGCCAAAGGTTTTTGACTCATGCTTGATATTGACACAGTGGGTGCGTGTCAGGGTTTTGCTGTCCAGGGGCAAGAGTTGGAGGTGGACACCTGAGAACATTAATTTCATCCTCTATGGTTGGGTGATGGATGCTGCAGGTTAGGGGATTGGGCAATGCTCCTGAACCCCACTGCCAATTCCCCTTGAGGGCAGACCCCCCACTTACTGTACCACAGTGTGGAAGGAGGAAAACGCGTATCTCGCCTTGAGGATAGCACACCGTTGGCTGTTCAAGCTCCTCCCCTCTGCTCTGGTTTTTGCATAGGGGGTCTCTTGAGCATCTCAAGAAGCTTGTTTTATGGCTTTCCCACCACACCCTGGAAGACGGTCTCCTGCAGTTGGCAAGCCTTGTTATTCAACAGGCTAACAGGTCGACTCACTGACACAGCAAGTACATCTTAAAGAGAAATGATTGGCCAGGCGCCATGGCTCATGCCTGTAATCCCAGTACTTTGGGAGGCCGAGGAGGGCTGATCACTTGAGGTCAGGAGTTCGAGACCAGCCTGGCAAACATGAGGAAACCTCATCTTTAGTAAAAGTACAAAAAAAAAAAAAAAAAAAAGTCGAGCATCGTGGCAGGCACCTGTAATCTCAGCTACTGGGGAGGCTGAGGCAGGAGAATTGCTTGAACCCGGGAGGCAGAGGTTGCAGTGAGCTGAGATCACATCACTGCACTCCAGCCTGGTTGACAGAGTGAGACTCCATCTCAAAAAGAAAAAAAGAAAAAAGAATTATTGTAGATGACTTAGTAACAAGACGTGTCTTTTAGGAGGCAAAACCAAATGCCCATAGCATCAGGAATGTTTCAGCCGTCCCTTTTGTAAAAGTAACCCTTGGGGACTGAAGAAAATGCCCACACTCCCAGGAGGACAAGGAGAACATTTCCCAGGAAGCCTGGCATGCTCACATATGCCCTAGAGCCCTCACACTTCTCACAGGACCGGGTTCCCCAGCCTGCAGTGATAGGTGAGGATCGCGACCCTCTACGTGGGAACTGGAGGCCTCTTTTCCAGCTCTGGGACCCTGGGTGGGTCTTTCATCATTAGTGCTTTCCTTCCCCACTTAGCAGCAAAGGAAATTCCTGACCTCAACTAGTGATTGGTCAAATGGCACCACGTTTGTGAACTTGCTTGAGGAAATACGTGCCATCTTTTACTAATGTCATTGTTAATCTAGCATACTATCCCTGGCCAACGCTTGCTTGAAGTTTAAATTCTCTAAAAGGTCCGCAAATTAAATCAGAGATGATGACATACCCTTTGGGAATTACATTACAACACCTTTTTGTTTCCGGAATGTTCTTTATAGAACAGTGATGTGATTCATCTCTGATGGGCAGCACGGCCTCTGGGTGAGTGATGGCCGACAGGGCTGGGACAGAGAGCTTCGTAATATTTCTAGGCAGCCAGTTCTGGCTGGCATCCTGGTCACTGCTCACACTCTACTATACTGGGACGTGCCAACCATTCCTTTCTCTGAAGAGCTTCAGCAAAGCCCAGGCCCCCTAAATGGTGTTTATCAACCCCAGAGAGACTAGTGCAAGGGTGGGGAGCCATGAGCGTTCAGGGGCTTCCGTGACACTCGGTTATTTTCTTCTTTCAGGGTCACTGTGCAAATCATTTAAGGAAATCTCTCCTCCTTTCTCTCTGCCTGTCTCTCCCCTCCGCCGCCCTTCCTCCCTCCATCAGCTCTCCACGCATACGCATCAAGAAACCATTCTACCATCTAAGACAGGGCGGAGGGAGGCTGTGCTGGTTGGTTATTTGTAGCTCCTTCAGAATGAGAAGCTGCACAGGCACCAATTGTAATTGGTAACTTCTGTGCTGACCCCAGAGATCAGAAATGTTGTCTGCTAGATCCCAGCAGCCTCTGAAGCCCAGAGCCAAGGAATGTCTTAGAGACTTTGCAGGAAAATATTTGAAAGCTCAAAATGTTTAGAGTCAACGTTAGACACTTTTCCCTCTGAACTCAGAGTGGGGACTTCTTGAATTGGCCCCCAATCCAAACGTCTTTCCTTCTTCCTAATCTTTTTTGTTTCTCCCTGATGCAGTTCTCCATTTTATTTAGGGTCAAAGGGGGACAGGGACATTAAAGTTTTGTTCCCACAGTGTCAGAAGACCGAGTCACATGTATCAGGCAAGACTCCCAGAGCAAAATGTTCTGGAGTCTGGGGACTCCTTAAGTTTGGCCCAGAGACCTGCCTCTGCAAAGAGAGACTCTCCCTGACAATGCCCATGTCCTCCCGGTCCTCTCCACCGAGTCTGTTATGTCACTGTGATATTTCCATTCTAGAAAGAATCTAGGCCAGGCACAGTGGCTCATGGCTGTGATCCCAGCACTTTGGGAGGCTGAGTCGGGTGGATCACCTGAGGTCAGGGGTTTGACACGAGCCTGGCCAACATGGCAAAACCCCGTATCTACTAAAAATACAAAAATTAGCCAGGCGTGGTGGCCCACACGTGTAGTCCCAGCTACTCGGGAGGCTGAGGCAGGAGAATTGCTTGAACCCAGGAGGCAGAGGTTGCAGTGAGCCAAGATCGCGCCACTGCACTCCAGCCTGGGCAACAGAGTGAGACTCTGTCTCAAAAAAAAAAAAAAATCCAGTGGCTTCCTAAAGCTTCCAGGAATCTAGTCTCTTTTAGGAAGGATGCCTTTTGTTTCCATATTTTTGTTTTAAGAATGATGTGTGGCAAGAGTTCTGGTATGACAAGGGGGACAAGTTTTTCATGTGATTTATGAGGTCCTCAAAACATCTGGTTGGGCCATCAGTCTAACCTCAGTTAGCAAATTACAGCCAGGCCCCAATGCAGATCCTATTCTTACTGCGATGGCCTTTACATAAATTGTCTACTTTCGTTATCTCAGCTCTGGGATGTGGATTTTAAGACCTCCATTTTACAAACGCGTATCTGAGGATCAGGAAGGTGAAGGGTCAAAGTCCGATAGTGATTCACTGGGAAGAGCTAAGGTTCTAATTCAGGTCTTGTTTTGAGACAGAGTCTCACTCTAGCACCCAGACTGGAATGAGATCAGGCAGTGGCGTGATCTCGGCTCACTGCAACCTCCGCCTCCTGGGTTCAAGAGATTCTTCTGCCTCAGCCTTCCAAGTAGCTGGGATTACAGGCATGCACCACCACGCACGGCTTATTTTCGTATTTTTAGTAGAGACAGCGTTTTGCCATATTGGCCAGGCTGGTCTCAAATACCTGGCCTCAAGTGATCCACCCACCTCGGCCTACCCAAAGTGCTGGGATTACAGGCTTGAGCTACCACGCCCAGCTCTAACTCAGGTCATTCTGACTTCAGAGCCCAGACCCTTCGCCCAGCGCTGAATTGGTCTAGGCCTTCGTGAGTTATTGTTACATCACCGTTTGGGAGTGGGCTACTTTTTATTAGAACCTGGGTCTCCGTAACAGAGTGGTGCAGTAAGAAAGGAAGTCATGGATTGTACTCGCCATGCTTGCTTAGAGGGTAAAACTCAACCAGATGGGTGCAATTGATAGGCTGTGTCAAATTGAAATCAAAGGCCCTTTTCCTTCCTTCTGCGGCAAGCCAAAATCCTTCGAGGGCCTGGCAGCCAGGATTGTTTTATGAACAAGAAAACTCGCCTGAGGAAGTCATCTTGGGTCTGAATGCAAGGAAAAACGTTGAGGTTAGGAAGGAAGCATAAGTCGAGGAAAGGCTCATGGGGTGGGGAGGAGGAGGAGGAAGAAGACAGTTCACACTAGGTGAAGAAAACAAGCACCATGTCTCAGCGTTTCCTCCCGCCCACGGACTTCCATCATGTTAACATGAGGTCGGAAGTTGTTCTTGCCAGTGTGGACAGCAACATCGAGGGCAGAGGAAGCGCAGAGCTGCAGGCGTTCAGACAGCCCTGGCTGGACAGTAAGGGCCCCTGGGCGCGGAAGAAAGGCTGTACACAGGGCATCCAGGAGCGGTGGGTCCACACCCCTCCATGGTCTTCGCTACTGCCCCCACACCTGCTTTCTCCTGCGTGGGAACGACCTTGCGTTCCACAGGCCAGGCAGGAAGCTACAATGATCAACCTCGCCCAGTTCCACCCATGCGTGTGCTGTAGACGGTGGCCACAGAAAGGACAGATGAGCAAGTGACCATTTCTAGTTGTTTTCATGAAGTTCAGCGTACTGGCAAAGCCTGTTGCCCAAGCACACTCACAAAAAGTTGATTTCCTGAAGAAGAAAACAAGCAGACATTTGACACACGTGTGGGAAATGCAAACACGTTGTCACTACCGAAGGTGGAAACTGGAGCAGGTAGCCTTATAAAAACCACTGCTTTAACCACTGCTTTGGCTGGGCGCAGTGGCTCACGCCTATAATTCCAGCACTTTAGGCTGCTGTGGCAGGCAGATCACTTGAGGTCAGGAGTTTGAGACCAACCTGGCCAACACGGCAAAACCCTGTCTCTTCTAAAAATACAAAAATTAGCTGGGCGTGGTGGTGGACACCTGTAATCCCAACTACTTAGGAGACTGAGGCAGGAGAACCACTTGAACCCAGGAGGCGGAGGTTGCAGTGAGCCAAGACTGGGCCACCACACTCCAGCCTGGGTGACCGAGACTCTGTCTCCAAAAAAAAAATAAAATAAATTTAAAAACCACTGCTTTTAGGAATGTAAATGCGAACACAGACCTTTTTTCTAATTATTCTCTCCTGCTGTGACTTTTAACCAAATAGAGCCAATCAACGTGGATTAAAGGGAGTGTTGGGCACACGCACTTAGGTGTCAAAATACAAGCAAAGCACCATGTCACACATTCATTGGTGGGACCCCAGAATCCAAGTGAGCAGTTTTTCCACAATCATGCACCCTGTGATTGCAAGTCTAAAGAGCTGTCATTGTCATTTCTCTCTCTTTTTTTTTAAGAGACAGGGTCTCACTTTGTTGCCCAGGCTGGGGTGCAATGGTGCAATCACAGCTCACTGCAGCCTCCAACTCCTGGGCTCAAGCAGTCCTCCTGTCTCAGTCTCCCAAGTAGCTGGGATTACAGGCATGCACCACCACACCTGGCTAATTTTTTTATTTTTTGTAGAGATGGGATCTTGCTATGTTGCCCAAGCTGGAGAACCACTGTCACTTCTCCATCAGCTAAACTTTCTGTGACCACATGGCAAACCATTTAAGAGGCTTAGTTTATGTCTTTCACAACACTGAAAACCATTTTATCCTCCTTGTTTAAGCACCAAATAATTATAACCACGGTGTTTATTGAGAGCTGTGTGCCAGGAAGACAAGGAGGAAGAAGGGAGGACAGGGGAGTTGGGAGGGGAGGAACACCCTTCCCACACTTTCTCTCCTTTGACCCGAACCAACCCCTGGGTGCTGAGTGGCATCTACCCTGTTTTGTGGCTGGGAATAATAAGGTTCAATGAGACTGTCACTTTTCCTAAATCAGGACATTGTCTTAAGCACACCGCAGTGCAGCCTACAGAATCAGAGGCTTAGAACATCCTCCCTCGGTGCAGCTCTCGAGCTGCTTCTGCTCTTTGCAGAGAGTTTTGGTGATTAATGATTAGGCCAAGGGATGCAAACAAAAATGCTGCACGTCAGTCAGGGAGATAAGTCCCTTTGTGGAATGTCAAGACGGTGAGCAGGGGCAGGCGAGGGATGACTGTCCCCTCCGCAAGGTGAGCGTCACTTCTTTGACCTGCTTCCCTCTCCATTCCAGTCCAAAATCCATGCGGCACGCAGCCTGAGTGAGATCGCCATCGACCTGACCGAGACGGGGACGCTGAAGACCTCGAAGCTGGCCAACATGGGCAGCAAGGGGAAGATCATCAGCGGCAGCAGCGGCAGCCTGCTGTCTTCAGGTAGGCAGAGGCCAGCTGGAGGGATGCCCCCCTGAGCATGGCTCGGACCCCAGAGGGGACCCAGGAAGGTGGGGAGAGCTGCAGCAGGGGAGACTGCTGGACGAGCTGCTCCAAAGCTGGCTCTGCTTTCCAGACCAAGTTTGGGATCCAAATGCGAATCTGAGAAAACTGCTCCGAAGCATCAAATAATGGAAGGGGGAAAAAAAAAAAATCAGTAGAACCACGCAGTGCAGGAAGGCCTGCTGGTCACACTTAAGTGTCTTCAGGTACCCCCCAGAGCCTTTCAGAATGCCAATGGCAAGCTGTCGGGAATGTCAGGTCCAAGGGTGGACAAGTGGAGTCCGCTCATGTACCCACTCGTGTGTTGTGAATTTCAGGATCTGGTGCCAGGAGACACTGCATTCTACTCCCAGGTGGGTTTCTCCGGCTTTTACAAATGCAGAATACTGTCTCCATCGTGTCACAGGGCGTGGTTTCTCCATTCAGGGCCTTTTGAAATTGCGAGTCAGAGATCTGGTTCCGCCGTCCGCTTCCGCCAGCCTTGGCCAAGTCATTTTGTCTTTTGATGTTGGGAGGGACAGAGGAGTTCCAAGGTCCTGGATCTGGCTGACTTAAAAAGGGGGGTGCCATTCACTGAAATGACAGGAGGAGGAGTGGGTTTGAAGGAAGGAGGGAGGGAGGGAGGCACCTGTGGTTTAGAAATGTTAGAAAAGTGCATTGTGGCCAGGCATGGTGGCTCACACCTGTAATCTGGGCACTATGGGAGGCCGAGGCTGGAGAATCACTTGAGGCCAAGGAGTTTAAGACCAGCCTGGGCAACATAGTGAGACCCCATCTCTACCAAAAAAAAAAAAAAAAGGTGTGGTGGCACATCACCCATAGTTCCAGCTGCTTGGGAAGCTAAGTAGGGAGGAGCGCTGAGCCCTGGAGGTTGAGGCTGCAGTGAGCAATGCACTGCACTCCAGCCTGGGTGACGGAGTGAGAGCCTGTCTCAAAAAACAAAACAAAAAGAAAAGTGCAACAGGAGAAAAAACCTGATTGATGTAGGAACCGTGCAGCTGTCTCTGAGCCATGCAAAGAAGGCAAGAAGTCTTCCCTGGTAATTTATATTACTATATATAGTGGCTGTAAACAATAACAAAAAGGAAAAGACAGGAGAGGAAGAGGAGCTAAAAATTGTCTCATTAGCTTCTGGGCTGGTGTGATCCAATCATAGCCAGGAAAAAGTTTAAAGGACCAGAGAGAGGACAGACATCCTTCCTGGACTGAGAGGCGAGGTTACTGTTCTGGTGAGTGGAGCATTAAGTTCAGGGCCCCTCCTTGGACAGGCTGAGGCCCTGAGGGGACCTTAGCAGTGTGTTCACACAGTCATGTGTTTTCATAAAATCTGTGAACATAATACATTTTGTATTATTTTTCTTAAATAGAACCGCTAAAGGCCGGTGCGGTGGCTCACGCCTGTAATCTCAGCACTTTGGGAGGCCGAGGCAGGTGGATCACCTGAGGTCAGGAGTTAGAGACCCATCTGGCCAACATAGTGAAACCTCATCTCTACTAAAAATACAAAAATTAGCTGAGTGCGGTGGTGCGCACCTGTAATTCCACTACTCAGGAGGCTGAGGCAGGAGAAACACTTGAACCCAGGAGGCAGAGGTTGCAGTGAGCAGAGATCGTGGGCGACAGAGCAAGACTCTGCCTCAAAAAAAAAAAAAAAAAACCACTAAAATTATATAAGCTTCAAGCCCCATAAACCTAGATCTGCCTCTGCCACATCACCTGGGGTTCACTGTCAACCCCTCCCTGCCTTAGGTTCTTCGAAAATGTGACATCCGAAAAAATGGGCTTAACGCTCATTCTTTCTGAGGCTTGGGAGTTTGCCATGAAGACTGCAGAGAATGTTGTCTTCAAGGATCAAAGAGAATGAAATTCAAAGCCCAAGACCCCTACCTCGAATTACAGCCGCTCCCAGTCTCCTGCTGAATGACCCAGAGCAGAGTCAGAGCCAACACCTTGTTTGTTTTAAACACAACCTACAGTCGTTTTTTCCTAACCCCGGGAAAACCCAGTGTCAGATTAGAGAGGCTGCATCTCTCAGCCCACCTTCCCCCTAGCACAGGGAATCCGGCTGACTTCAGCTTGGATTCTTGAAGCTCAGTGGTTCTCAGACTTCGGCGTGCATCGGAAGCGCTTAGGGGGCTCGTCAAAACACCTCTGGAGCTCCTGATTCTGAGGGTCTGGCGAGAGCCTGAGAATTTACACCTGTAACAAGTTTCCAAGTGAGGCTGATGCTGCTGGTCTAGACACTAATTGGAGAGACTCTCGTTACTGAGGAAGAGACAAGCTTGAAGTGGGTGTGTTGTGCAGGATCATAGAACCCAAGTATGCCCAGTTTTAAGCCCATGTCCTAGTCCATCTGCACCGGCCCCCTTGTATCTGGCAGACTCCAGGGGGCACCAGGGCAACAATTTACCTTAATAGCAGCTATAGATGAGGCTGTGAACAGGACCCCCAAACCTCCTGAAATGAAATTGACATCATGCACTCATCGGAAATGAAATCTGGCTGGGCGTGGTGGCTCACGCCTGTAATCCCAATACTTGGGGAGGCCAAGGCAGGTGGATCGCTTCAGGCCAGGAGTTTGAGACCAGCCTGGCCAACATGGTGAAAGCCCATCTCTACTAAAAATACAAAATTTAGCCAGCATGGTGGTGCACACCTGTAATCCCAGTTATTTTCGAGGCTGAGGCAGGAGAATCACTTGAACTCGGGAGGCAGAGGTTGCAGTGAGCTGAGATCACGCCACTGTACTCCAGCCTGGGCAACAGAGCGAGACTCTGTCTCAAACACACACACACACACAGAGAGAAATGAAATCCAAGCATCTTTAAGACTCGAAAGCAGTACGTCTGTATGCCTACAGGCTGGACATTGCTAATCAACCTGGTGGGCTAGAAGAGAAATCCTAAGAAAATCTTCCTGCCTAATCCACCTGTACACCTAATAGATAAGCATGGGTATACCAAGACATTGAAGTGATCTTCAAACGCTTCATCATTCAGCACTGGGGCCCCAGGCTAAGGTGATTAGGAGTTAGTAGCAGCAGCTGGGACCACTTGCAGAGCGGCTCCCATTGTCAGCTTCAGTGCCTTCAGCCCTTTCTGCGGCTGCACAGCTGAGCAAGAAGAAACCCTGGCGAGAAGGTGAGAGAGCCCCATGACTCAAGCCGAGGGCAGGTCCCACTCTTACCAGCCCTGCAAGTTTGAGCCTGAAAAACATCCTTTAATGCCAGGGTGGAGGCTCCTTGGGGTGCCCCACACCCACCTCCTGTGACTTAGGAGAGCCAAGACAGTGGAGGAACACACCGCAAACGGGAAACATTCCATCAGGGAACAAAGGGAATTTCTAGCACCCCTAGATCTTGTTCTCCCTCCCACTGGGATGGCTGACGGCAGCCCGTGTTTCCCTGCACCAGGAGAATAAAGCTTTCCCCGATGAAAGCATTGGCAGTGCCATCTGGAAGGGGCTGATTCCACATCCCTTGCAATGGGGAAATCCAGCCTTGGCCTGAAGATCGAGGTGGCTGGCTCATCTCCACCTGCTTCTTCCTACCTTTCTGCCCTCTTGCCTAGAATGTGTTCCCACAAAGGGGACAAGCCCCACTGCTTGCAATTCCAGGACAGCTCTGATTGTTACCAGTCTTCTTACTACACTTGCCGGATTTTATTTTCTGATGTTCATTCAGAAAAGGTGATACATATAACCCAGTATCCAGTTTGGTCAACTGTTTTCTCTCTTTCACCTCCTCATTAGATAGTATCTAATAATTGTTCCTTAAAAGCATTTTGAGAAACTAGTCACCATTTCAGAATTTTCTTTTCTAGCACTTGCCCAGTACCCAACACCCAATAGGTGTTTGATGCACAGTTATTGAAATTAAAATAAATTGTGAAGGATACTAGTAAGACTCCTGCATGTGCTGTGCTTTAGGAATCTTCAGCCCAGCACAGCGGCTCACACCTATTTGGGAGGCCGAGGCCGGCGGAGGTGGTGGGAGGGACAATGTGGGTATCACTTGAAGCCAGGAGTTCTAGACCAGCCTTGGCAACATGGCAAGACCCCATCTGTACCAAAAAAAAAAAAAAATCTTTTTAATATGGCTGGACATGGTGGTGCATACTTGTATTTCCCACTACTTGGGAGGCTGAGGCTGGAGGATCACGCGAGCCCAGGAGTTCAAGGCTGTAGTGAGCTATGATGGCATCACTATACTAAAGCCTAGGTGACAGAGTGAGACCCTGTCCCTAAAAAAAAAAAAAAAAAAAAAAAAATGAGAGAGAAAGAATCTTCTAATCTTCTATGTTCCTAGAGTGTACAGTACCTTGGGCCTTGCTGGTACCTCCCATAGGATCTGCCTCCAGTATTTTTTCCCAAATTCTACTGTAAGCCTTTATCACACTAGTATGGGACCTTTAAAGTTTGTGTCGCATCAGTCTCCTCTTGCAGTAGTGTCCATCCTTGTTATCTTTCATTCCTCCGACCCTCATCTGTACCCAAATCATAGTGTGTCTGAGACATGTCACAGCACTGCAAGAGTTCTGTGGTATAAACATTTCTGCTAGCTCCCAACTCTGCTAGGTACTATACACAGCATTTTAAGAAGTTATAGCCCCCGTCCCTGCAAAGAGTTTGTGTACTGCTTATTGATGAAAAAAAAAAAAAAGACATAAAATGTTGATAAACTGTTAGTAACTTTGAAGGTGGTTTGCCTATTTAAGGACACATAATTACCTTTAAAATTACTGAAGTCTAGTACTTGGTATCTGAGGCCTCAGATGCTAAAGAAATGAAGAATGTCATTGATACCTATTAAAGAAGCCAGGCCAGCCACAATGGCTCAGGCCTGTAATCCCAGCACTTTGGGAGGCCAAGGCGGGCAGGAGTTGGAGACTAGCCTGGCCAACATGGCGAAACCCCGTCTGTACCAAAAATATAAAAATTAG